TATTAATGTGCTACGCGATTCCACTTAGATTTTTTCACGCCAGGATGCCTGCTTTTGGGTGCGCTTATTTTTGACCACTCGCAAAAACTGCATCCTTTAACAAGTGATCACCTTGATTGTATTATTTCCTTATTAATATCTAATGCTCTTCTAAATTCGAACATATTTTTAACATATTTGATACTCCTTTGTTAACGAAATACGTATTCTGTAAACTGTATTTTTGAATTAAGTACAGCTTTCGTTTTAAAACGTTTGTGTTCATGATATGTATAAAATAATCTTTACCATTTCGTCTAGTAAGAAGTTTTAGGAAGTCTAGGCTATAGTTCATATCTACTGCCAAATTATATGAGCACAAATCGGCATCTCATCAACAGCACAAATCTATGCTCTCCCCGGGGAGTGTATGGTTTTTTTCTCTCTTTCTTCATGCATGCAGCGTGCATGTTTTCCGTGAAATAGGCTTGCATTTTTAAGAGCATCAGACATCAATAGAAACATCATATTACCAAAATGATACGTATTTATCAAACGCGTTTTTGCCGGTGACTAGAAGGCGGAGCATCTAAAATTCGGCATCCTGATATGTATCAGGATTACAGAGTGCAACAATAAATATTAGAAATCCTCCTAAGTAATCCTTTCCAATCGAAACTGATTTCGGGATTTCGAGTAATACTTCATGAAACATATCGATTAATCGACATGTCGTAAATATTTGATTTTCTCCTACATCACTAGTCACTAGCAAAAAGCTCTGCAAATGGAGTTCTAGTGTATATGTTCACAGGTAAACCTACCCGTTAACTGGTCGCAGCGATTCTACTAAAGTGGGTCAGCTACCCTATAAGACATAGCAAAGCACGATTGTGGCACTACAATGTGGCAACTGTAAACCACCATTAAATAACTTTTCTCTAAATCACAATTTGTCGGTTAGGTTATTGAGCTCAAGACCTTGAACCAGAAATCTTGGTAGCTGTTTGAGAACCGTTTGTACTCAAAAGTGGATAGAACCTTTCAGAGCCGAGTAATATGATTAATTTCATTGTGTTCATGCGAGCCAACGCGCACTAAAATCATTCTTCAGCGACGCAGTTGGACGCTGGACTAGTAAATTAAGAACGAAGTCTGCTTTTATTGAATGCTACAACGTGCCAAGGTGTGCCTCTAGACATGAAGTTCGGCCGCGCACGGTTTCCAGCAGCACGACGTGGATACCTACTGCTCAATTGAAGTCAAAATAGCTATCTCTTATTCGTGAAGAGGTAGTCTTGCCTCGTAATCCATCACAGCTACACAGACGAGTCCCCTCTGTTAATGACCGGCTGTTCAACTTTTAACTAAAGGGATACTTTGCTGGCTCCACTTCAGTTTCTGTGTACCTAGTAACCGCAGCAGCCGACCAGCTGGAGATGAAATGACCAGACCGTGCTGCAGTTTGATTGATATTATCATTGTCAGTTCATCATTTGGTATTATTTTAGACAGATCCATAATGCAAAACCAACTAAAGTTAATGGCCAAACTCTGTTCTCGTTGGATCCAACTTTGATTTGTAAACCGAGTTGAAGGCAAAGAGAATAGCAGATGGAAATTTGCGAGGAACCTTAAATAATTTTCGGACTCATCCAGTGATCTCACAATAACTGAAACAGTGCATGCGCCTTACAGTTGGTTGCTGATAGAAGGATAGAGACTATTTTTAGTAAGTAGGTCAGAAAAATCTGACGCAGTCGGTGAAAAAAATAAGTTTATTTGCCTGATGTTGCGGACTCTGACTCGAGCCCATCGTCAGACACGGTCAGAGAAAAGAGCAGTAAGGGTACAACATGCCCCCAGTTGCCAGACAAACATAAGGCTACTATAATAAGCAGTACTTTTATTCACTGCTGAAGTTAAAAACGAGTACAACTAGTTATGTTAGGCATGCGGTTGCTTGGAATCTGCGCCCTAGAACCACTGTGCACGTTGTACCCCCATGACCCTTTTACCTGACTGTCTCTGAGCATGATTTCGAGGGGCAATCTGAAACTTTAGGCCCGGCGCTCGCATCATCTTCCTGCGTGCGTGTCCCTTTACTCGTCCACGCACACTGCAATCTGCTAGCGAGACCAGATCAAGACGCAGTGACTGACGCAGTTGAATGGCTGTCTACGCATCACCTGGCCCCCGACTTCGCAAACGCACTGCGGCGGTCGGAACACATACGGTTCCATTAAGGGCAACTTTATGAGGAGCCATCGCAATCCGGTATTTTGCCCTGATAAGGCCAGTGCTTACTCAAAATGTGGCAACCTTCCATGCTATGACTATTAGCGTGTTATTATAGTATCAATGTGTGCTTGGTTGCAAACCACGGAAGAATCTAGAGTTCCTTATGAAATGTAAACTGAAGTTCTGAATTGTTTTTTTTAGATAAGAAGGGATTATGTAGGTGGGGTTGTACTTCCAGTTATCGTGTGGAATACTTTCAAGATATTGCAATCCTATCGTGACACCGACTGTATGAAAAAAACGTATTATCTAAGCTCAGTAAAAAATGCCTACTAAGGTGTATTAACTTTTCACATTGATCTTCAGAATCTCCAAGAATTCAAAGGTATTTTATAAAAACATGAATACAAATAATATTTCTTGTTTTCACTTGGTGAGAAAATACACCTACATGGTAAGACAGAGAACAAGGGGAATGACAGGGGAAGATATTTGATACAAACGGATGATTCTAGGTGATGATTGGTCTGGAAAAAAACGTCTGGCAAATTTCTTCAAAAATTACAGTTTTATGCGTATTTACGGCCCTTTTCTGATTATAGGACAAAGCAGATATACCATATGGGATAGCAAGGACGAAACTGTTTAAGAAGTAAAGAATAAGTGCAAAGTCAGGTTAGATGAACATTGAAACTTTTCGAAAGTGCGAAATGATATAAACTAATTATATCTAGCAACAAAACTAAGCGAAAAATCTGTGTTTATTGAAAACGCACCTCATTAAGCTTGGTTTTGAGCCGGATCTTGGCTGCTTCCAGAACGTTGACGTTGTGGAGAATGAAATGCGTTACCTGGTCAGCTTGCTGTTGCAGGTCATTTGCAACGTCCTGTATAATATTTTGGCACAGTTGGACAAGTCGTTCACTGGCCATTCGTTCGTATTCGGCGGCATAAATTGCATAATGTACCTCCTGGGTTCTTTCTTCAGGAGAGCTTAGATTATCCTTTAGCGCAAAAAATACAACCTAATGAATACCTTTGAAAAGGTGGTTATGCAAATTAAACATTAAATTGCAAGAAAAAGCTACCTGTGATGATGCCACCGCTGGGAAGAACTGCTTGTTGGTACTCGTGTTTTTCAGTACACCGGCTGTTGTATCAAGTAGAACTGCCTGCATCTTATTACTGGCCACCAGCTCCAGAACCTCCTTTGCTGTCCGGTTTCGTCTAAGCGAGGTTTAGAGAAGACACATGAAAATAAATTAAGAGAACGTGCTGAGAGTCATTAAGAAAGACAAAAAGTCATCGCCACTACCCACGTGCACAGGGCTTACACCAAGGATAAAAATCCGAAATACGTATCCACATGAATATCCGATCTTCAAGACTGTCCGATGCATACACGTGTCATATACTCAACTTTTTTAGAGTGCATAAAACATGATGAATCCAGTCTGCTTAAAATCTGATATCAAAAAGAATCTCATCGGCGTCGGCATGCAAGTGCATTTTGCGCGGAACTGTCTTTTAACCGTACTGAAACGTACACGACTGTGGAACGTAAAAACTTCCTTCGGGACCGTCCGATAAATTCCATTAAACGATTAGCCCGCTAACGGATGCCTGTTGGCTAGCGAACTTTTTGTTGCAAATTTACATCTTTAAAGTAGCAGTTTATCCCAAATGTGAGAATTAGTTTCCTTAAAAACATTTAAGAACCTAAAGTAACCAACTTTGTGCAAGTCAACTCGATAAATGTTTTAGTACTAGAAAAACTACTTACACGCAGTTAATTTTTACGAACAAGGCAAAATATATACAAAAACAACGCGCCTATATTTAATGTCTACATTATTCACGATGTTATTGCGCTAATCGGTAGGGCATACTTTATGCGGAAATTGTGTGGAATGGAGTTAAAATGCAATTTTGCCTTTCTTCTTGTACATTCACAATTAGAGGTCGAATAATGGAAATGCGCTGATAGGACAACACTTTGGGCAGAAATATTTAAGAATCGAAATGCATGTGCAGTAATTGTGGCAACAAATCCTTACTTCCTGTAAAATATGATTTTTTCTGCTCCAAATAATGACTGCCGGTGACACAACGCCGATAATGTATATATGTACATTAATTAAATTAGATTCACTTACATTTTAGTATATTTTTGAATTTTTAAATTCGTTAAATGAATACAGTCAGGTAACTGAGCATGAAGTAGAGCTTTCGATAAGATTTCTGGTCCGAGCGTAAACGTATGAGAAAACCAATGGAAAGAACAGAGTTACTGATGTACATAGCTTACCTTATTTGGTCTTTAACTTGAGAGATTGATCTTTTTAATACACTTTGAGCCTTCGCAATAATATCGAGTTCCTGAAATATATAAATTTGCTGTATAAGTTTCAAAAGCGTCAACGAATCTATATATTTAACGTTTATGTTGACAGAATAGGGAAAGTTTTCAGCACAAATAATATAGGACATATTAAAATAACTGTGTGCATGTATTCAGCGGAGGGACTTCAAGCTGCTACTCTTGTAATACAACGAACACTTAAAGGTAATAACAAGCAGGAAAAAGAAATCATCAGCTGTAAAATGCTAAGCCATAACATACTTAACTCTATTTAGGGGTTGCAGTTGTAAAAAATACTAGTTAACATAGGCTAGTGCTCTTTAAGCCAGGGTCTTTGAAAATATAGGGTTAACCACCACCTCAAATGAACTTTGATTTTCTTCTAAATGACTGCAATGTTCCAGGAAATGAAAGCTGAGAGAATAATAAGCATTACTTTGCGTTAATAAAATGAGCACGATCTGTTTTGGCATCTGTTGTCAATGTGCATCTATCAAATGCAGATTATGTGACTTGCTTGGGCGCTATTTTAAATTCGTACCCATTCAGGAATATTGCTTTCCACAAAAAGTGGATGAAAATCCGACTGAACTATAGGCCAGCGAAAAGTTCGATGTTGAAATAGGGAATTATATTTAATATAAAGAGATTATATTAAACGTCGACGTATATGTTTGACTATGAAGTGTTAGCACTACCTAGTCGAAAATCCGTTCGAATTATCACAATAACTGAATGGCTGTTTTCCCATGCATACAAAAAATTCCAAGCCATACATCCCTATACTTCATCCGTGCACGAGTTGAAGCAGTGCACGCAAAACACGTATTAATACATGAAACGCACACCCGTAAAATGTACTTAAAGCCATGCAAGTTCAAATATCGCTGGCTTTTAACCACGGGGGCACAATGCAACTAATTAACTTGCTTTAATCAATGCCTCTTGAACATCGTCAATAACATTTTCTTCAGGACGCCTGTGATTTCTTATATTGATGTTGTCAGTTGAGATGGTTTCAGGTGGTTCCGTAGCTTGAAGAGCATTTTCCAGTGTGCATCCTGTCGCAATCAGTGTGTTGGTCGCGTCAATAACATCCTTTATTTCAATTTCTAGTTGCCTTTCGCTAAAATTCAAATCTTGAAAATTGTTTTTAAGATTCTTTGTTGATTCATGTTGCGTTTTTTCAGTTTGGGCATTTACATGCCTGATAAACTATAGAATAGGAATATGAAAACATAAAAATAATCAAATCCCGCACATCGGTTGAATTTATTCTGCTATTTTTTGTCAGCGCACATCGCCCAGTAACTGTCCCCAAACGTTCATTGAGCTGGTGAACCCAGTCAGCACGTTCATAAGACGTCCATGGATCCGGTTGCTTAGTTCTTTTAAATGAGTCACGGGCTGGGACCGAGTATAGAGTTCTCTCGAAAGCCATGATTTGTATTAGCGCGTTCCCGTAGTCACATTGTCAAGGCCACTTTGGTTAAGTTAGACAAAAGGTAAATCAACTAAAATTTGTGCCGTTTTGAAAATGCTCCGCACTAATACATAAAAACCACAGTTTTGTGAGGAAAAAAAGGAATATTTGTCTTCAGCTACTTGCACGCTTATACATATGTCAATATCGCAAAAAGAATATAAGTCTGGACAAGATGATAACCGATATAAAGACACATACGCTGTCAAGGACGGGCACATGCACCAGCTTGAAGATCCCTAATGAGAGAATGTAGGACCAGTCTCTCAAAATATCGAATAACATGGTGAATTTGTTTGCTCATGTGCGTGGGAATTGCACGTTACACAACAACAGGAGTTATTTAAATGGACACAAATGTGAGGAGGTACGTGGTTGAGGAACTATTTGAAGTTAAAACAGTCTTTATTATGGGAGGAAGCAAGAAACAGCACAGACCACTATTCGTCAACGAATAGCTGTACGGCTGGCTACGGAGGTAAATCATAACGAAGGCGAGACAGAGGAGCTCAATGCGGACGTTATCAGTATGCCT